ATGTCTCACGGGTCGTATGCCTCACAGGCTGTATGTCTCACCGTTTGTATGTCTCACAGGTTGTATGTCTCACGTGTCGTATGTCTCACAGGCTGTATGTCTCACTGGTTGTATGTATCACAGGTTGTATGTCTCACGGGTCGTATGTCTCACATGCTTGTCTCACAGGTTGTATGTCTCACGGGTTGTGTGTCTCATAGGTCGTATGTCTCACAGGCTGTATGTCTCACAGGCTGTATGTCTGACAGGCTGTATGTCTCACAGGATGTATGTCTCACAGGCTGTATGTCTCACAGGCTGTATGTCTCACAGGTTGTATGTCTCACAGGATGTATGTCTCACGGGTTGTATGTCTCACAGGTTGTATGTCTCACAGGTTGTATGTCTCACAGGTTGTATGTCTCACCTGTCGTATGTCTCACAGGCTGTATGTCTCACTGGTTGTATGTATCACAGGTTGTATGTCTCACATATTGTATATCTCACAGGATGTATGTCTCACAGGTTGTATGTTTCACAGGTTGTATGTCTCACAGGCTGTATGTCTCAAGGGCTGTATGTCTCACAGGCTGTATGTCTCACGGGTCGTATGTCTCACAGGCTGTATGTCTCACAGGCTGTATGTCTCACAGGTTGTTTGTTTCACAGGCTGTATGTCTCACAGGTTGTATGTCTCACAGGTCGTATGTCTCACAGGAGTTGTTCAGTTTCCGAAAGGTTTTTACTTAGTCATGTTTGATTTCTTTTCTCACATTTAGTTTACTTATCCTAATTAATGTCTGTTCGGTTTGATTTTGCTGTTTTTAATAGACCGTTTACTCTATAAGTATTATAATACGGAAAAGGGATTACTCATTTCGTTATCAATGATAAGAATGCTCTTCTCGGATTACCTTCACAATGATGTACGTATACTCCTTTAAGAACGCTCGCCAGCAGCGCGCATTTTAAATTTACCTATTAATTAGTATGCAAAAATCACCATTGTTAAAACAAACTTGAGAAATCGTTTTTCTGAGATGCAGATGTATGCACTAATCCATCGTGACATCAAAACAACAAGAGGGGTATTGTTCCGGGTAGCTTTAAAGATGTGCTCCATTCGAGTTATATGAAATTAAATCTCCGAAAGGCACATATTCTAATGTCATATATGGGATTCATCAATACTGAAATATGAGACCTCAGACACAACAGACTGAAGAACGCCTACGCATGGTTAGTCTCGTATATCGCTTACTACTCGGGTTTGTATTCCTTATATGTAAGGTATCTGCTAATCACTATTTAATTCAATAATAGTTCATTTATTTTCCATACTGACTTAATTAAGATTAAAAACAACGTATGAAACTGCAAGTGTATAACTATGTTTATATAATGTCTAAGAACAAATTGAAAAAAAATGAATTTATTAGAGTAACTAATGTACGAACACGTTAGCTTTAGTCATATAAATATACAGGTGAGTACGCTATTTCCTACTCATCAGAGCAGTACCGACGATAACACTATCTGAATGGGAGTTCAAATGTGTCGCCAGTAATTCATTTCTTATTCAATCACTTCACAATCCATTCTTGTCTATTGGCCATACCCTATCATTAAGACTTGGTCATGCAGTGGTTTTATTTGTCTATATACATTGTATATTTTAACACCGATAATGAATAAATCTACAAGATTTCCCATGTACGGTTTTCATGAATTATTCAATTATGCATGTCTTGCATTCATTGCCGATTTCAGTCTATCTGTCATACTGAGAGTATGTACTTAACACTTTTTGGTACGCACCGTTATATTATATATGAAATATTTACTTGTTAAAAAGTGGAAGCTATATATCCAGATAATACTTAACTACTTATGAAATTAATAAGTCATATCTTCCTCTGTTTTCACATTATGCTTATTACGTTTCCCTTTGCGTGTGGTCCGCAAATTCAGCTGAGAACGCAGCGTTGAACAGTTTCGTGATTAAAGAACTGTTACGGTCACATCCATAAGATACAAATGATAGAAACCGCTGACTCAGACTGTATATTCTAAAATGTTTTAAAGTAGAACAATAAATAGCCTACTTTCGTTTAATCCATAACAGATCGAGTTCATGTTATTTATTGATACTATGTATTTCCGCAGTTTCTCAACTATCTTTCTTATCTATATGACGTCATAACTTGGTGATAATTAGAGTATGGACTAATTATTTACTCTCAGTTGGTCTATTTATAAGTCAAATTAGTATATACGCTTAGCCTCGATGTACTACAGTACGAAGGACCTTGTTTTCTTTGAAGGTAACATTACATTGTAACATATTAAAAAGAGAAGTAACATTATCAAACAGTTTACTCCCTTCAGAAACTCCTGTTATGTTTTCACCGCAAGTGTTTTTATTTTTATTTTGAGAGGTTGTACAAATATGGTATATGGAAAGTTGAATTTACTCTCGGCAGACATCGCGAGTAAAATGTGATACTAAATATCTTCTGAGATGTAACTGTGCATTTAAAACACCTGGACCTGATTGACTTAAATGAGTAAACATCCTGACGTTACCCTTCACCAAGATGCTAATTGATGTACTGGCTACCTGCCCTTGTTTCTTGTCTGTTGAACATTACTTTTTTCGCAAGAAAATAAATATTTTAACACTAAAGGATTCTTGTGAAATCTCTGCTCCCATTTTTCATTGATGCTGAAAAACAAACTATCTAGGGTGTTGACGGGGTGTCTGTGTAAGCTATCGTCTAATTAGCGTTTCCTCGTGGTTTACCTACATCGTAGTATCACTAATCACACATCGCTGATTTCCTCGAAGGTTCCCCGAGGACACAAGCCTAACTATCTTATCCACGTTTTTGGACCCTATACATTTGAAACTGAGGAAAGGGATGGATATATATTTAGGCAGCGGAGAAAGGACATGAGAGCCATATGCTGTCGACATGCAAACTATATGCTGCTAAACAGACGCAAAAACCCTTGCGATTATTTCCCTAGTTTGGAGATAACTGTCTCCGATTCCAACTAAATACTAATACAATCAGTGTAAACTCGTATTTTTGTTTTCTATTAAACACCTTATGTAAATTGTGTTTACCTGTACAAAACGTTTTGGCTGAATACCAAATAAAATGTTTACTTGTAGAAAAGTCTTAAACTAAATACATTGTACCAGTGCAGTGCTAATTTGTTTAACCGAATACATTTTTACTAAATATCCTCACAATGTGTATTTGTACTGTAGGAAACACTTCTACTCTTCATATACAGAGGTACAATAGAATCATGATTATGACATTATCATTGTTATGTATAATATACCAAGTCCAGGCCAATCAGGTCGCAGCCACAAATGTCCCGACATACACCGTGCACGGATTATATTCTAAGCAGTAATCGGATTCCGCACTTCTCTGTATTCCATGGAACAGTCGGATTAACCTTCTTATCTTTCCAACGTGTGTATTATACGAGCTCGGTTTAAATCCATTCAAATAGGAAATCGTATAAATCTAGTTGTGTAATGGTGCCATATAGCATTGCTGCAGCGGTTTAACACATAGTTATGGTTAATTTAATACGGTTCGACTTTGGAAATAATCTGTTTATTTGAAATTGCGCCACTCACATTTGAATAATGCCGCTGCCGATAATTCATATGCGAAGCCAGTAAGAAATATGATATCTCATCTTGACACTCGGATCAATATTTCATACCAAATAAAGTTGTCCCATTTTGATAAAAACAAAATCCGTAATAATAAGAGCAGGAAATAACGTTTCTGACTCGCAATCCAACGCACGTGTACATTTACACAGTTGCACCAGAGAAAAAGATATATTTTAGTTAACATGTTTATGCATAAACTATAATATACATGGCTATCTATATAATTCACAAGAGCTGACTAAGCTAGTTATGATAATATTCGTTCACGCCAGGCTACCTGATCAACTTCACATCATGCTACTTTGCTTGTACCTCATCCCGCGTTTCAACTTTAAATCCACAAATGAAAACATTTTACACATGTAAACACACACGAAAATAAATATAATCGTTTGTATATTATCATTGGTATAATGACTCCAGCTACATAAAGTTATGGAGTGTGCACAGAGTATTAATCACAGACACCATGTCAAATGGTACACGTACATGTACATAAAACAGATTACACGTGAGGTTTTCCGGTTTTTAATGTATTCCCTCTTTTCTTTCCCCACCCTTACATTGCCATGGAGTCTTTCGTCATTCTCCTATATAATATGTGTGGTTATCAGTTTAAACTGTATAACTCCCCCGTTTGACCGCTGAAATAAATACATGCTACATGTATGCTAAAGGTACCCTGTCCTAACTGGAGGTATTCCATTTACTGAAATTGAACTTTGATGTTTCAAGAAAAAGTACAAACAAATAAATCCCGGTGTGAAGACACTTTTTCTGATATTGATCATAGTTACAGCCAACTGAATTACACATTTTGACACCAGGGCGAAAACTGTCGAAATTACACCCTATATCACCAGTTTGGGGACTATCCGGTTGGAGTTTAGAACTCTATTAAAAAGATTACCTAGAATCAGGCCTTCGCTTCCCATGGGGTTGCAATTGGGGCTATAACCATTGAGGGGTATTTAGGTGTATATAGGGTTAGGGGATATTGATAGTTGGGGAATGGCAAAGCTCTTATGTCGAGAGTGGGGAGTGTTACTGTTTAGTGGTAACAATTGTTTGTGCATTGTATATGTGTGATTTGAGGGGATGATCCGAGAGGTTGTCCGACGGAAGTTGGTGCGGGAGGGGGTGCTTGATAAGCTCACAAACAGTGGGGTGCACATGTGCCTATTCTTGATCCTTTGAAAAAGAATTGATACGTTGGTACCCAGGAAGTGAGACTTAATGACTTGATACACGACTACATGTGGTAGAAATTATGTATATGCGTAACCAAGAACATGTAGGGGCAACTAACTGTACGTACCTATCCGGATGGTGTTCTGCAGACTGTTGGACGTCGTCACGTGAAGGAGTAGCAGTGTCCCCAGCCAGAAGATTTTGGCGACCATTTCATCTGTGTAGTTGGGATGCTATTCTCCTACTCTGTAATATAGAATACGGGTCCTCCGGGCCCGTCCTCAGCAAACAGTCCCCGGGGGTGGGGAATCAACACTCACTAAATATGGAAATCCACTTCCTTTTTTATCACAAATATACGACACTTATCCTGGCAAATCGTAAACTCTCCAGTAGGTAGCACGCACACTTGTATATATGTCGAGTCAGACTTGTATTTTCGCTAATGTTAATCCTAGCTCCAAGAAAGCCAACTCCATCTCGCCTTCCGTCAGAGTATGAGTTCCACTTTCCCCGCTACGGCTGTTAAAACAAAATACAATGATAGCCGTTAAAATATGTCAAATGAACTATTTCATGTTCAAATCGTAATCTCAAAGGTTATAAAACGTATGAACATCCTAAGCTGGCATATTTAGAATTAATGAAATTATGTGGCTCACAGCCTGACTGCCAAGACGCTTGTTAGGCGCTTATACAGTAAGTATAGTAATCGCCGGCCGACAGGAACTATTAACACCATCAGATCTCTATCGTTTAAAATCTATATCGAATCAGAGACATCGGCTGACAGTACATGTAGACATACACGTCTGGATCAGGCTTGTATGAAAACAGCCCCGACAACCATCGCTGATTTGTAAACGATTTTTACCGACGGTACAAGGAATTGGTGCGATCACGAAGGGAGGATATATATGTACATGTTCCGATGCGTAACGGGTCAGTCTAAAGGGTGTTGTGTGGTTTATCTAAATGAATTAAATGGTGGCTATCGAGTCAGGCTCAATCAACCGTGGTAATCCCACGGATTCAATCGCATGTGCCTATTGTTGTTTGGTTTTGTTTGTCCACAATCAAATCTATCCAGAATTTAGAAGGGGCATTTAAAAGACAATCGGAGATTTAAGTAAATGTACGGTAGTTATACGGGGCATTTCAATTTCTCAATCACCTTGATGGTTGATACAATTGATTTTATATTTCCTTTAACAAAAGCTATGTCGGGGCAGGAGTTATAACACCGCGTAACCTCCTAAGACACGGAGTGTTAACCGAAACACGCGTAATAATTATGTAAAAAGCCTTGTTTACTTCGGTAGGGGACCTCAAGGGTACTGAGTAAGAACACGAGGAAGGGGAGGAGAGTTATATGAAAGGACACAGATTAATTGGATCGAGGTACCGGTCGGCTGTCGGACTTGATATTTCTGAAAACGAGGTCAGTGCTAATACATGTAGACATTAGGCTAGTTACACCAATATTGTGCTACCTTCAACCGGGAATCCAGTATTTACACGGGACATGGTATTCAGATTTCTGTTTCAATATAATAGTACCAAATAACACCACGAAACAACACATGAACGTATAACATGTAATCCGTATTATAATGTTAATATATATAATAAAGCCCCTTACGGCACCACGCAACACACGTATATACACATGTGTATAATTGTACCAAACTACACCACGAAATAGCACATGGATGTATTATGTGTTATCTGTGTTATACTGTATCATTACGCTGTAGATATATCATAAAGTCCATTACGGCACAACGGAGCACACATGATTATACGATATAATAGCACCACATAACACACAGAAAGCTCATGATTGAATGATATAATGGTACTGTACAGCAGAGACGTATAATACGTCTCTGTGTACAGGTATAATCTTACAATACAATCCAAAGTAATACTATACTATACATACTCTTTGTATAATACAGTTTCACTGTAACACCACGTAATCCATGTTAAAATATAATTGTATAATATATTCCTATATAATGCAACGGAATACAGATCATTTACAATTACCCTTAGTAACGATTGACATACATGTATCCCTGAGTATCGCTTGAGTTACACGTGGGCAATTTTCAATCTTGTTAACTTCTTGAACTTAACATATGACAATCTTGCCTTTATATACCAGAGACGTATGTACGTCCAGCAAATCCAGTATTTTTTTCTTTATCCTTTACCGTCGAAATTTTCATACAGTAAATTCAAAAACAAAATTCTGCGTATGCTCGAACTCACTCCCGACTTAATTGTTTCCCTACATCACGGAATTAGATAACTGTTCTTAGTCCATTACCACATCTTATAATCTGTTTATAGTGTCGACCATAAACAAGAGAATCCATATCAATATGTGAAGTAGTAAATGAAAATTCGTATCTAGTAATGAATTGTGAATATATAATATGTTGTATACGCTTTAGAGATACTCGGGGTAAACGAAGCAATTAATACAAATGAAACATAACAAATAAAAAAAAAAAACATACGTAATACGAAAATAAATGAAAATAAACAAAAACATAAAATAACTTACTATCATGTATGCCAGCCTCGATATGCGTTTAAACGGACGTGGTTGTGTCTGTAGTGTGTTTATTACTGGGCTGTTACGATACGCTGGTAATTAGCCAGCCCAGATTGTATCGGTGGGTGGGGCTTACGTAATCGTCCCTGTGGCGTTAAGGTACCTATCAGTTAACAAGATTTATACAAGTCTATGACCCCCTCCCTCTCACATTTAATTTGACACAGCTGTACATTGTGTGGTGGACACATCCGCACAATGACGGTCAGTCTGTATATTGTATACTGACCATTCCGGACAAGGGTGGTCACCTCTGGTCATTTTGCAGAAGATACCACTCACACTTAATAGTTTAGGACACCTAAATGAAGTGAACGTATATATCTTATTAACACAGTATAAATGCTCGCGCTGTTTTCTCAGGTGCGGACCAGTCATTCGAGATGTTTACACCCACAGGAAATACAATTGACAGCGATGATCATCTCACTGTAAGGTCACTGGTGTTAGAATAATAAAACGTCGACCTTAGTAGGGAGATGCTAGGGTCCCCAGGTGATGAAATGTGCTCACTACAATCGGGCGTAATAACGTCATCTAACAAGTGTTATCTTCGATTAAAGTACAAAAACCTAAATGTTCAATCGACACTTTGTGTATTGACAACTTGCAAGCAAGTAAAACATATATCAATTAAGTCCGTGATATCAGTTTCATGTTCTTTTTCTCATTTTTTTTCTCCATTCCAAACAACCACACAGGCTTCTAAGTGGTCTTAATAAAATCCACCCCGTGTTCTTTAAGGCAGACTTCCGTAGACTGCACGAAAAGGTTGTCATTACGAGCAAACTTCCACCTGCCAGGGTAGAACATGGGCTGAGTAATACTAGTTCCATGTTGTATTCAAATTGTACGAAGTATGATCTGGGTGAGTAATTCGATTGCTAGGTTTTAATACGGAATTAGATTAGAAGTCCGTGGTTTTAATAGTCAAACTGTCCGGAGTTTGATCTGGGTTGAGTAATATGATTTCAAGGCTGTAGTATTCAATTTTATGGCACTATAAACAACCCGTTTGAAATAAACAAAACAACTCCGGCACACCCCTACAAACTCTCAGGTCGGGTAAGACTGGTCTCTCCTGACTGCCTGCTCGCGTTGAATATTACCGAAATAGTAACTTCTTCGAGTTTATGTTGGGTGGTACACAAATGTTGTAAAAAGGTCATGATAGACTATTTTTACCGTTTGTACATTTTGGCTACAAACACATATTTTATGTTACTGTCTCCTTTCAATCCATTTTCTACAGTGTGGTCCTGTTTGACCTTGTAAACTCTTAACCACGAGACCTAAGTGATGCTACAGATGATGGATGGGCACTGTCTCACATTTGTCTGTCCCTCTCATAAATTTAGGGAGCACGCATGACAGTTAATGACAAAATTTGTTTATAGAACGTCAAAAATATAAAAGTGTATTAAAATCAAGGCCGTCACATATCATTTCTCATTTGGACACGTTTTCTTCTTCGTATATCTTGAAAGTTCAACAACGACTTTTCTGTAAATCCGCTTTGATAGTATCATGTCTACTTGTTAATAGAATGAATTCTGCAAACTTTCTGTTGAATTGTTTGACCACTCCTCCGAATTAAAGATGAATGAACAGATTACTATTATTGTTCAAATCACATTAAGATTTTCTATTTGCCAAAAAGTGCCAAGAGAGTGGTTGACCATGTAACGACATTGAAGCATCTAGATAAGATAACCAGTCACTCAAAACCTATACTTCAATGTCAAATCAAAACACCAACATCGAACCAGTATAGATAGAATACAACCATAATGACTGTGTAGTAGCACGGAATTAGATTATCTAAGTCCGTGGAAGTAGATATGTATTCGGAGGTTCCGGGTACCATATAGTGACGACGTGACGTAGTACGTTTAATCTATTAGACACTTATTCGGCAGTTCCGGGTACCGAAGTCGACGTTTTATTAGTTCGTCATCTCACGTTAAACAGCGCTATACACTGTGTTGTTGTTTTATGATGACAAGATAATTTTCCTCCTAACATTTCGTATCGTCATAACACATCGTCTGTAAGGCTACACTTCACGAACTTACACAAAAGTGTATAAATCAAAGTTTACAGTCAATTATAAATAGATAATTATGCATTTATGTTTACTTTTTAGCAATTTAACAATCTAAGAGAAACGTGGATTTCATTTTATATCGTGAGCGAAGACTTTCATGTCTGAGATTTTGACAGCGATAGTTTTGGTATTTTGGAAATAATATCGTATGTTACAGGTGCATGTGGCCTGCTTGTAACCTTTCTTGTATAGTCGAACATACAATGTATGGTTTTGCACAAGCTGATTATTTTCACATCATAGATGAAAACAAATTCAAAATGAGAATTGAAAAACATTTTTTTACACTGACTTATATACCCATTTTGACTACGTTTATGGACATTTAATCACTAGTAATGGCAAAGTTATACATAAACCCCTTGATAAATCAGAGCACTAAAAAAGGAAACGAAACTACAGCAGTGTTTCTTGTGAATATATGTCAAGGCGTGACGAGCCATTATATGGAAATAATTCACTCTTACTATGTATAATGACTCTTTAATTTCCATGTATGGTTACTATATAGACTGGCTTATAAGACCCGGCAGATAACGTCGCCGAATTATAGTGTTCGTTTCCTAAAGATCGACTCGGGATTAGAAATATTAAGTTTCTGCTTAAAAGTTTATCATCCTAACGCACAGTGACGGCCATGGCAGTTTTACGAGTCGTACGGATAGGAGATATGCATAGACACTCTCAGGCTGATCCGTTTAACAGTGGGAATAACATGAAAGCACGTTGGTATATGACGGATAGCAAAAATGGTCCAACAATACATCACAACATTAAAGCTACCGAGCC